GAAGGATAAACATTCACGGTCTGACCACATCCCCCAGGGGTGCTTTAACCCTCTCTCTCTGTCCCTGGAAGCACCCGTGTCTTCTGGCAATGGGCAGAGTCACATTTTGGAGAAAAATATAGAGGCGAGACATCTGTGGGACACAGAAGTGGTTTCTTACCTGTTGCTGATGGCGTTAATAGTATTCTCAACTGGACTGGTCAGAGTTGTAGTTCATACTGGGTAAATTCTCTTGACTATCTAACTGTTCTATAGCTATTGAATGTATAACAATAATAAAAACATTAATTAAAAAAGCCACAGGGTGCTAATGACATGCAGACAGACATAAACAGAGACATTGCATAAAATAGAGACCCTGGGAATAAACACCGACATACACGGCTACATGGTTCTCTCGATAGGCATGGCAAGACCATCAGTGGGAAAAGAACAGTCTTTTCTAGAACTGCGGTTGAGAAAAGTGAGTATTCTCTTACAGACCTGAAATGGAGCCGGGACCAACATGTGAGAGTGAAAACTCTATCTTAGAAATAAATATCAGAAGAGATTCAGCACAATGAATGTGTATGATTTCTTGGCTATGACACAAAAAGCATGGGCAGAAAAATAAAATTTAAAAACCTTGAGGACAGAAGGAACTGAAAGGAGAAACATCCCCCCTGGGGGGTGATTTCTCGCTTTCTATCTCTCTGTCTCTCTCTGTCTTTCTGGTGAGCACACACGCCCTATAGCAAAAACAAAAAGCTCCAAAAAAAGAAAAATAAATAAATAAATAAATATCAGAGAAGAGAAGCAGCACAATGAATGTGTAATATTTCTTGGCTATGACACAAAAAGCATGGGCAGAAAAATAAAATTTAAAAACCTTGAGGACAGAAGGAACTGAAAGGAGAAAGGAGGGAAGGACCGAGGGACGGAGGGGTTAGAGGGAAGGACAGAAATACAAAAACAGATACATGGTCATAGGTGACACTGGGTGGCTTCTGAAGTCTTGAAATAAAGTAGCCCGTGTGCTGAGTAATGCTGTTTATTAACATCAGCGGCCTTGGGGCAGAGCAGGGTCATGGCCTGTGGGTGTCTGTGGGCTGACAATGACCAGGTTCTTGGGATGAGCCAAGGCTAAGATTTTTGCTGAGACAGGTCTGTGCAGTGGGCAGCAGGGGGCGCTGTGGGTCTGTCTCAGGCTGCACATGAGGTTCCCCACAGCTGGGCCCCCTCACACACACCCAGGGCTGGGCCATCAGAGCTGGGCTCTCTGATGCAGGCTCAGCTGCTGGGCCTTTCTGGGTGTGGTCCCAGCACTGCTTCCTCCCAGGTTCAGCCTACCAGGCCCCCAGCCACCAGCCCCAGGGCCTGAAGAAATTTCTGGGGCAGGAAGGGGCAGGCAGGGGTGGGAGCACATGTGAATCCATGACCCTCCTCTGGAAGCCCTGGGGAGGGGATAAGAGAGGCCTGGGGCAGCCCAGCCCCAGCCTGGACCTCAGGAGGGCTGTGTCCACCATGGCCTGGGCCCCTCTTCTCTTCCTGCTCTTCTCCCACTTCTCAGGTAGAAACAGGCCTTCCATGTTCAGGGGCAGCCCCAGCCTAAGTCACTCCCCTCTGGCTCAGATCCCCCAGCAGTTTGACCTTTGTCCTGGCCTCCTGCCTTATGAGTGTCTGTGTTTCAGGGTCCCTCGCCCAGCCTGGGCTGACTCAGTCGCCGTCTTCATCTGGCT